CAGGCTCCGGAAGTTACCTAACCCAAGGCGATCCACCGCGCCGACTTGGGTCCCGCAGGCTCAATCTAGGCGAACTAAGCCTGTGAATTTGTTAGCTAGAAGCGGAAAGAAAAGTTCTCCCTAGCACAGAAACCCCAAGACAGTTGTGCATAGGTTTGGGTCTGTACTTGGGAAGTTCGGTAGCAACCCTCCCACCCCTTTTTGGATCGCGACTTTTAGTTCTCCTGACTTTTCATTGACCTTTTAGTGCCGGACCCCAATAATAATCCGATTCAGAAATTCTCTTCATTTTCGTTAGGCTGACTTTGGCAGGCACTAGTTACGTTGTTTCTGGTAGGAAATTTAAACTCAAGCAAATTTTAACATAAGCCTTTTCTAGAAAGCCCTTTAAAAGGTGTGTGTGTGTGTGTGTGTGTGTGTGTGTGTGTGTTTTATTCCATGCATATCGCTATGATTGAACAGAAACATGCTTAGATTACCTTTAGAGTTCTGAGATTTTGCTACAGGCGCCAGCAACTCTCCAAACACTAACGAACAGGGCTATTTGCAGTTATTATTCATGAAAGGTCTTTTATATTCTTTAATTGAGGCATGGTTCTTAGGTGGAAAAATTCTCTATGACTAAGAACATGCTTTCAAAGAGAAAGAAACAAACATTTCAAATGTGTTATCCTATAGAAGACTTCACGGAAAATAACAGATATCATTGCAATTCGAGAGCTGAAGTCAAAATGTCATAATAGTCAGTTAGAATACAAACTATTAGGGAAACCCTGAAGTGTCTTATCAAATCCAAAGGTAATATCTGCAAAACTCTCCTTCCCTGTGTTAGACTTGTATTGTGAGACTTGACTGTTGTTAACACTTTCATTTGACATAACCACAGTTCACCTTTGAAAACCCTCCACCACACAGCCACAATGATAATTGTTCTTCAGGTGAAGGACTTTTGAAACAAATAACTTCTTTCACACACTGGCACTCACGCCCCTCTCACCACATACACAAGCGCACACATAGTTGCCCCTTTTTTAAAAAAAAGGCTGCCACTGAATGAGAGGAGGGAGGGAGGGAGGGAGGGAGGAAGAGGTGGGGGGAGAGAGAAAGAGAGAGAGAGAGCGAGCACTTAGGTAACCAACAAACCCAATTACTAGACTTTATTGATACTAAAAGGAAAAGTTCCTCTCGTAAAATTTCTCTAAGCTTATTAGTTATTTAAATCAGCCCCAGGGCTGGACGAGCAACGCCCGAAGGCACCCTCTGTGGGCTCCTCGACTCGAGCAGAAGGTGTCGGCTCTCTGGCCCGCCGCCCCTCGCTCAGTCCTGGGCAGCCGGGGCAAAGGAAGGTGCAGCGAGCTAAGGTGAGCCACTTGGTAGGGGTGGCGGGTACGACCCTCTTAGAATTAGCTCCGCGTGGTCTGTGAGTATTCTAATTGAGGGAGGATCAGGTCACAGAGCCCAGGACAAGCTCGCGGGTGAGCAGGCCAGCAGGCAGGCAGACGCCCCGCCAGAACTCTGCGGGCTGGCCGAGCGGCTCAGCCTGGGGCGCCGCTGAGCTCCCTGTTGGTGCGGGCAGCCGGGTGCCCGCAGGGGTGCGGTGGTGGCCTCCAGGCGAGCGGCGGCTCGGGCGTCCAGGGCTTGTTTGGGGCTTGTACCGGAGCCTGATGACAGAGGAACGCCAGGTGAAATTTCCACCTTTCTTGGTTGCTGTTCCTTTCAGTCACACAGTTCCCCCAAGGTGTGCGTATGTGTGTGTGTGCGCGCGCGTGTGTGTGTGCGTGTGTGCGCGCGCGCGTGCCAATAGTCGTATTTATGGACATTATGCCCCTGCCTCCCCACGGGATTCCTCTAAGCCCGACGTAGGGGCTCTCAAGTCCCGCTGCGCGTGCAGCGCAAACCTCGCTCCACCTGGCTCCACCACAGGGCCTAGGGACCAGGCACCGCGGGCCGGGGGGAGAACTAAGCTCCGCGACTCGGCCGCCGGCACGTCCGAACCCGTCGCCCTGGGGTCGAGCTTTGATGGACTTAAAAGGGTGTCAGTGGGACTTCCAGAGACGAAGAGAGCAGGCGAGTCTCCAGCCTAGGAAAAGCCTTAGCTTCCCCATCACTCGGGCCGCGTTTGGACGGTCACACAGCCCCGCTCTCCGCTTCGCCTTCGGTCCCAGTAAGTCCCTGGGCCCGTGGTTCCAGGAGCAAGCTTCCTCGTCCTCGCAGAACTGGGCTCGAGACCAGCGCGGGCCCAGCGCTCTCGCAGTCACTCGGGTTGGGGCTGCCTGGGCCCGGATTCCTGGGGGCAGTGACCCCCTTCCCGGAAGGCACCCGGATTTCACGACGCAGACCGGTCTGTCTGAAGTTTGAGGGGAGGTCAGTGGTGCTGTGGCCTGGACATTCCAGGTGCATTTTTCTTTGCAGGGAGGTGGTTGGGACAAACATCGGTCGCCAGTGTTTTGCCTGTCAGGCGTTTTCATGTTGGGTGGCGTCCCTGCACCTCTGGCCGGGGACCTGCCCTTCGCTGGCGGGGTAACCAGCCCGAGGTCCGGAGGCGAGGCAGAGGGGCGGGCTCCTGGGCTCGGCGCACTGAACAGGCGCCGCCGGTTCCGGCCGGAGCCCACGCGGTGGCGCTGTGGAGAGAGGACGGCTCAGCTCGGGGCTGGGACCCCGTCGGTGACCCCGACTCGGGGGTGACAGGACCTTGATGAGGAGTCGAGGCCGCTCGCGAGCTTCCTCGCCGCCACCTCGGGCGGGGTGGGGGGTGGAGGGGCTGGACGTGGGACCGATCTCTAGGGTTTGCTCGGGAGCTTCCTGCGGGTGCAGAGCGCGACGCCTGGCTCCCACCCCTGCCGCGTCGCGTTTGGGGACAGGGCGGCTCCACTAGTGGTTCGTTTTCTCTCTTCCCTTTTGCCCAGTGGCCGAGGTCGTTGAAAGTGGATTTCGGTTCTAAAGCACTAGATCAAGCCGGGCGGTTTTTCCCGCCGCGCTGCTGCCCCGGGAAGATCCGGCGCTCGAGTTCTTGGCTTTGTAAGAAGAACCCGGGGACTCGAGCGCCTCGAGGGCGCTGGCTTGAGTCCTTGGAGTAGAACCCCCGGGTCCTGCGTCTTTCCTGTCGCCTAGCCTAGACAGACTCGGTTCCTAGCGAAAGCTCCGCCACAACACCCACGCAATGACTCTCCTAGCTTTCAAACCTGTCCCCGCTGTTTTCTTTCCTTACTTCGGTTTGGCTGTACCGTTCGCCCCATCCCCTACTGCTGGACCCCTGATGCTTCGCGTCTCTGCCCCAAGCGGTTGCTGGACTGATGGTCTCCGATGCCCGTAGATTCCCAGGGCCTCTGCCCTCCAAAACCTTCAGCCCCTAGGGGGTTTCTGCTTACCCCTCCCCAAGGCTGACTAGCTGCCACCGCACTTTTTCAGTCTGTCATCTCTTCAGGACGCCTCTCTCTCTCTCTCTCTCTCTCTCTCTCTCTCTCTCTCTCTCTCTGGCCGCGGGGGCTGCTTGTTTTGAGGAAGGGAGCCGGTCCCTCTGGCGCCGGTACCTTAGATGGCCCGACGGCATCCTTGCTGCAGCCACCCCGCCCAGACCCCCAGAGCCTCCGGGGGCGGCCAGGAATAATTGATCTTTGCCTGGCGCGGGTTGGGATCTGTCGGGGGCTCTGAAGCCAACGAGATGGCGTGAGGACAACGAAGTAAGTGTCCCCCGCCTCCCTGCGTTCTGCTCGGTCCCCAAAGAAAGTGTGCGAAAAGGGCTCCTGGAGCCCACCCGAGTCGACCTGTCCGTCTAGGCCGGTGGTTCCCCTCGGGGCGCTCTGGCCCGCACCGCCGATGCTCTGAGTGCCTTGGGTTTCCAGGGCCAGCTCCGAGGGGCTCTGCGGCGCGCTAACAGGTCGGTCGCCAGCTCTCCTGGGAACCCTGGACACCGGGACCGGGTGCGGACTCCCGCGGGAAGATGCGATCCCTCGTCCGCCCTCCTGGGAGTGAAGAGGCCCGGGAGGTTTCTAGGAGCCGTCGAAGGTTTTGGACGTTGACAATTTTTCCCCGCCCCCACCCCAACTTTCCCCGTGGGTGTACACGAATGGAGGGAAAACGCGGTCGACATTTCCAGAATTCTCCATGAGGTCACTCACGGCGCGAGGGCCTATACTACGTGACAGCACCACTAAGCCAGGGAACCTGGGCAGGGTGGCTGGGCCTTCAGAGGCCCCACCAGGAGCCTGGGAGTCATTGGACCGCACCCGGCCACCCTTCGCCTGTGCAGTAGGGCCTAGTGCCCCCGCACCCAACCGCAACTGGGGAATGCAGGACGGCAGAAGCAGAGCGCTAGCACTACAAGGTCCTCGGTGCCTAGGGACAAAAATGAAGACTTGTCGCCAGGAAAGTGCAGGAAACGGGGGAAGAAGGAGGGTGGCCTGATAAGAGAAAACGGGAGAACTTGGAAAACCGGGGAGAAAAAAAAAAAACAACAAAAGATCATGTACGTTAAAGTCGGGTAGAGGGAAGATCCGTTGGTTTTTAAACAAATCTCAGTGGGATTATGAAAGACAGACGACCTTTCACTAAATGACAATGTAAAAATAATTGGGGGTGGAGGAAGAAGGGGGAAGTCTAAGGAGAGTTCTCACAAAAACATCGAGAAGGAGGCTGAGGAACAAATATGCCCCCCAAATGTTAACTTCATGCTTTGAACGCTGGAGCAAACCATCACAAAATGCGCAAAAATGCATTTTGGATCAAATCATTAAAAAATACATAATTAAAACCAAGTCTTTACTCCAGTGTGATTTTGTTTTTAAAATGATCGGAAATAGACCACTTGAGGAATATAAAACGAAACCAAACCAAACTTTTGAATTATCATTATTTATTTACTGTGTAAAAAGTAGAAAGTCCTAGCAAAAGGTAAAAACGTTATTTAAAATTTCTTACTGTCAAATTTAAACATACTGGAAATAATCGCCTACTTCAGTTGAAATTAGGTCAATACAAAAACTGCGGTAAAAAGCTTATGTAATTTGAAACAGAAAAGGCCTTTATTAGGGACAAACTCAAGAGGAAAAATGTACTATGCATCACAAAACTTCCTAGAATTCTCATTTTTTAAAAAATCTTTTTTGAATCAAATGAAATTTGTAAAATGTGTTACTAAAAATAAATATACAAACATTCAAAACTCATTTGTGGTAATAATTGATAGCATTCCACTTTCACTGTTACATGTACTTTTATATAATTTGAGCTCTTCTGAACAAAATAATAGATTTTATCACTATAAAAAATGGACCAGAGGAAACTACAATAAAAATCAATGAATTTTAAGAGTTCAGAATCTGCAAGGAAACTAACCACAATATACATTTAATTGTATACTTTATTTAATCGCCCTTCTCAGGGGTTTAATAATTTAGAATCAATATTCCCTTCAAAACATAATAAAATATTTACACTTTATAAAATATTAACTGATTAACAATAAGGCTGTGTTGTTCCTAAGTGTAACACAAGTCTCAGAATCATGCTGTTGACACAAGCCTGCGAGGTTAGCGAAGTAATCTTTTGCAAAATGTAAATGAAGATCTTCAAACATTGAAGTTTATAAAATAGCTCATTAATGACTTAAGATTGAATCGCTCCAACCATTCACATCATCAGATATAATAATAGTGACGAATCAGACAGGAAAGATCCTGCCTAACCATTTGCATTTTTTTTCCAGAAGTACAGAAGTCCTAATATCACCAATTCTTCTAAGTTCCTGGACATTGATCCGGAGGAGCATTCTGCAGTTCAACACCAAGGTAAGGAAAGAAACAGCATTATTATCGTTAAGATATTAATAAGAAATGCGCCTTTCCCAATTTTGGAAGCGGGCTTTAACTTTGACAGTGGGGGGTGGCTTTCCGCAACACCACTGTCCCATTCGGATGTGCTATTACAGATAAAAGAAGTTTGTCGATCAAAAACTTACTGTTTGCTTCTTTGCCGCCCCATACCTTCTAGCTACCATCACGAGTCGATTTACTTGAGCCACTTTGTTCTCAGAGACTTCGAAATGTGCATTTTCTCTAACCGGCTCTTTTGGGAGAGAGGGGTGATGTTTAGGGAATAAAAACCAGGCAAAAGGAAAAACTGCCTAAATCTCTCTGGGTGGCTCCCCACAAGCATTCCAGTTCTGCTCTTTCTTCTCTCGTGGGGCTCGGACCGCCTCACGGGTCGTCTGGAGGCTTCTCTGGAACTTGGTGGGCGGTGTTTTGATTCGGGGTTCTCGGGGATCTGGGCGTTGAGACTTAGGCCAGGGGCAGGTTTCGCTTCTGGGACCCTTTCTCCACCAAAGGCTCCCCGCACCGGGCCCCTACTTTTGAGGGAATGGCCCTGCGCAAGTCGCCCACCTAGTGGGTGCAGCGAGTGGACGGCAGCCCCGCTGGGGGTACACTAAGGCTGACACTGCTCCCCATAGCCGGGGCACAGGACCCTGATTTCCAGAATTGCCCCCCAAGCGCGTTTCCCGAAACCAAACTTAGTTTGGCCCTCTGGCGCCGCCGTACAGCCAACGCTTCTTAAGGGGGACCGACGTTACAGGCAATGCTACGGCTGGGAGATCTTCGGGGTTCAGGGAATTAGGAAGGAGAAACGAGGTGTACTGGAGGAACTGAAGGTACCGCCAGCCAAGGGAACCTGTCCGGGCTCACGGCAGACGGGGACTCGCCCACCTTTTTCCCACGCCAAGTCCGGACGGCGAATTTCAGCCGGCACCCCGGACGCCCAGCGGGGCCGCAGCCCCTGCCCACGTGCTTTTCGTTAAGGAGGTCCGGCGCCCGGACGGGACCTCCGGGACAAAAGCACGGCCGGAGCCTGGTCGGCTCGCCTAGTGCCCGCGCCACCTTAAATGAGCCCCGCGGCCACAGTCGGGCTGCGGGCGACTGCGGCCACGCGAGTCGGCAAAAGTTTGTGGCTCAGTTACGACTTCGCTTGGATTTGCTGGGGGACGCCCCCGCGCGGCCTCCCGTTGCACCGGGAGGCCGGGTCATCACCACTCAGCTCTGCTGGCTCTCGCAGCTCGGAGTCCGAGCCGCTGGGGGTCCCAGGAGCCCCAGCCCCGCAGCCTGAAGACCGGCAGCCCTACCGCCCTCCGCACCACCGCAGGACGGCCTCCGGGCGGCCAGGGCAGCGCTGCTAGAGATGTCGCCAGCGCGGCCAGCGCTCCAGGGACGTCATCCAGGGATGCTTCTCGCCCTGCGCCCCCCGCGGAGCCCCCTCTCCTGCACCGCCCGCGGCCCGGCGGGCAGTGCCGGTGCTTCTGCCCTTCGGGACCCCCGGGCTATTGTTCCGACCCCGCGGCGGTGCTGGCACTGAGGGCGAAGCGGCCTGGTCGGCGCGCGCCGCGGCGCGGCTGGCCCGGGCCCGCCGGCTCGGCACGGCGCGGACTGGGAGCTCCGCAGCCGCGAGAAAAGTTGCTCCGAGGGGCGGGGGCGGCGGGGGGTGGGCGGAGGCGGGGGGTGGGGGAGGCGGTGGCCCTCCTATCTCGAAAGTCGAAAGTACTCCCGGCAGTTAGCGGAGCCCCGAGCCGCGGCAGCCACCGCCGCCTCCTAGGGGGGCTGGTCTGCGCCTCCGCGGGGAGACGCGGCGCGAGCAGCGCCTGCCGGGTGGCCGCCGCCTCCGCGCCGGGACGAGCGCGCCTAGGGGCTGGGCGAGGCAGCCGCGCCCCGGACCCGCCGCGGGGAGGAGGAGGACCGGACCAGGGCGCACCCACCCACCGGTCGCGGCCGTCGCCTGGCGAGGCTCTCGGCATCGCTGCGCCGAAGCCCGGTGCGCGCGGTCCTCGCCACCGGGCTCAGCAACCTCCGACTCGCCCCAACCTCCTCCTCCTCCTCCTCCTCCTCCTCCTTCTCCCTCCGCCCCGCCACCCACTCGCCCTCGCTGTCCCTCTGCTCCGCCGCCGCCCCGCCGCGGTTGGGTCGCCCCGGCTCACAGCGATTGATTGATTGATGTTTAATTTCCTGCCAGGCGGGGCCCCCCTCCCCCCCCGCAACCTCCTCAGCCCTCCTCCCCGCCCCCCACTCTCCTCCTTCCTTGCGGTGGACCAGTCTGGCTCGGGTTTAGATTTTACTCCCTCCCGCCCCCCATCTCCCCAGCCCTCATCCCGAAATAACCCAGAGACTTCCCCTACCCCCCTCCCAAATTATTATTTTGGAGGCGCTAGATCTGGGGACGGAAAGGGGGAGGGGGAGAAATCGGAAACCGAGGACAACCCAAAAGGACTCACTTTGCCTGATGACTCAACGCAACTAATAATCATCTCCCTCTCAGTGTGTGTCTCTCGGCGGCGTGTCAGTGAGTCCGGCTCTGGCTGCTGGCGGCGGCGGCCGAGGGGAGAGAGGCTGGAGGTGACAGCTCGGGCGGCCGCCGCGCTCCCTCCGGCGCGCGCTGCCGGCTCCCCGCGCCTTCCCGACTCGCGGCGGCGACACCAGCCCTGAGACTCGGGCCGCGCCTCCCCTCGAGCTGGCAGCCCGGCGGAGCTGCAGCCCGGCCCGCCTCCGCCGCCTCCCAGTTCTCAGCCCTTTCTCCTCCGAACCGGTCTCCTTCCCGAAGGTGTGAAAAAGGCTTTTTCCGCCTCCTGCGCTCCTCTTCCCTCCTCCGCCGACCCCTCCCCCGCTCGCGCTGGTGCCCCTTTGGAGGAGCCCTCCTTTCCCTCGTCTCCTCCTCCCCCTACGCCCCCTCCCCCCCAATCATCATCATCATAACAACCATCTCCGCTCTAGAAGACACCCTGACCCAGGACCTTACACGTTAGGACCTGGGGAAGGAGTACAGGAAGGAAGACTAAAGAGAACCCGGCCAGGCAAAGCGCCCCAAACTTTCCACCCTGGATTCGCTACTTTTGCTCCATGGACAGAGCCCCAGCCAGCCAAGTTACAGACAGACCGTGAGCAGTAAGTATGCGGGGCTACGGCTCCCGCGCAGAGCTCGGGACTTTGGGGAAGCCCCGGCCGGGCTGCGTTCCCTCCCCGCAGCTCGCACACCCTTCCCGGAGCGTCGTTCCCCCAGCCGCCCCGGCGCCGCAGATCTCCCGCATCCCTCGCACGCTCCTCTCACCTCCCCTGCGCGACTCCCACCTGGTCTCCGCCAGCCGCGCCAACGCGGCCGCTCCCGCGGCGGGGGCGCCGGGTGGGGCCGGCCCAGGCTCCCCGCAGCGCCCGGGGATGTCTGTTTCCCTGGCAGCGACGTTTTGTCGGGTGTTTCTCTGCGTCCATCGTCTCTTCCCCCCCCCCCCGCCCCCCGCCGGCTCCAAATCCCGGGGTGCCGACATCTGCGAGGTCCCGCGGAGTGCCCTGCTTAGCCAAGAGACTAAGGAAAACTTTTTTGGGAGAGATTTTAAGATTGAGGTTGATGAAGGCAGCGCCTGCATCTAATGATAGAAATGCTTTTTTCTTCTTTATTTTGTATTTTGCGGTGGAGCGCTTTTCAAAACTCTTGGTATCGATGGAAATCAGAGCGTCCCCAAATCTGGTTTGTAGCTCACCCCCTTATTATAGTTATTCTGGGGGTTATTCGACTCGACACTACCCTCCCACTTGGTATGGGGTTGCTTATTACTGTGGAAGTCGGTCTGAGTTGGGGAAAGAGGTGCGTGTGGTGGGACCTGCTCGGTGAAGGTAAATCCAGGAGGTCCCTTCGGCGGGCCCTGGGCTCCTGCCGTGCCATTCACAGCGCCTTCTCCGTGTGCTCCGTCCGGATTCGTAGGGATTTGGGGGACACCCACCCCCTCCTCCAGTGGGTGAGGTGTCTTTTTGTGAAGTTCGCTTCTGCAGTTACCCTGGCCCCCAGACAGCAAAGCTGTCACTCTGGGAACGGTTTAGGCCAACCCTGTCTCAATGAATGGGCCACTTCTGAGCGCCCCCCGGTGCGGACCTTGCCGGGATCAGCGAGGGCTAATTCTTGGGGAGCAGAAGAGACCGGGTGCCTTCGTGACACCATCCACCCCCCCCCCAGGCTCTGGACTTCCCTGGGGGAGGGGTGGGGACGCCCTGTGTAAGGTGGGGACTGGTCACCCGCCGCAGGCCCCTCGGGCAGCGTGGGAGGAAGTTTGTGCGGTTGCGGTGCGGCGCTCCGCCACTGGCCTGAACGTCTATCACGTGTGTGAGTGGTTTTCCCTCTTTTTTTTCCCTCCCCTTTCCCCCCACCCCCGCCCCCTCCCTAGGTCCCTGCGCGTTTTATTGCGACCTGCCGGTGGGAACTTTGTCTCCGAGTCGGAGCAGCATGGAGCGGCGGAGCGAGAGCCCGTGTCTGCGGGATAGCCCCGACCGGAGGAGCGGCAGCCCCGAAGTCAAGGGGCCTCCCCCGGTGAAGGTGGCCCGGCTGGAGCAGAACGGCAGCCCCATGGGAGCCCGCGGGAGGCCCAACGGCGCCGTGGCCAAGGCCGTGGGAGGTAACAGCCTGGAGCTGGGAGGCGCGCGCAGCCCGGGGCCCCGCGCTAATGGCCCGGGTGTCAGGGTTCAGGTTGATTAGGCGCTGTCGCGGTGTAGGGTTACAGGAAGTGGATTCCAGGTTGCCAAATAATGCCCCCGTCGCCTCTCAGCTGCAACTGGTAGCTTCATCGGAGTTAAAACAAGAAAGTGGTTTACCCAGAGGGTGGCATTTTTTGGGCACTTTGCCACTGTGTGCTGAGGTGTTGGCAGGTTTATGTCACAGCCAGCTAACTGTTTCTAGATTTTCCTCGAGAGCTTCTCAGCGATTCCACTCTCCTGCCTTTGCCTCGGAGGATCCGTGCGGTAGGGCTGAGGTGGAGGTGCCTGGCGGGGTGGACTGGTCGCCAAGGCTCAGGTGAGGGGAAGAGCAGGCAGGCGTGTTGGTGTTACCTTGCAGTCAGACCCTGCAGCCAGGCAAGCGAAAACCAAGTGGCACAAGTGCCTGCCACATCCCCACTGGGAAATAAAAGTGTCACCCAGGAGCTATCAGGCCCGTCTGGGTTTTAATCTGCCGTAGTGTAAAACTTTCCAGGCACACGCATTTGTAACTTTGTTCCGAATAGAGCACAGCAGGTAAACATAGCTGGGAGCCCCCATTTCTCTGCCTGGGAATGAAGTAGTTTCTAAAGAAACTCTTTTGTGCTTTTCACCACTTGAACAACGACAAGGCTTTGATTGAAAGAGGTTAGGAAAAGTGACTCAGACTCTGAAAGAGAGATAGGCAAAGAATTTTAAGCATGATTAAAATAGTTTCTATGCTATTTGCTTAGTTGCTTTTTTCTTACATAAAATGCTCAGTTATAAATGATAATGAGTTTTGGGTGTTGGAGACAAGTCACTGTTTTATTTTATTTATTATTTCTTCCGAAGATTTCCCCACCTATTCTTTCAATAGTAACAGTATAATTCTTTATATTAGCGAGTCCGACTCGATACAAAGCCCTGGCAAAACTTAGTGACAACTTCCAACTCCATGTTCTTTTTAGCCATAATACGTATTTTTTTGGGGTAAATACTTGGTCTTTAAAGAGTTAAAAATGCATTTTCTAAGATAGCACATATTTGTTTTTACTTATTTTTCTGTTGTTACATCTTCATGGTAGACACTCAGCATAGTTTCTCTTAGTTTTTGATATTTAATCATCTCCCTTGAGAAACACTTATACTGGCCATTTGTAAAGCTTTCAAAATTATTTGACCATAGATTGCGGCTTATTTATCTTCCATTTTCGGAACTTGAAAACATACTTTAATGAAGCAAAAGAAACCTGATGGTACTGTAACCCACCTTCTTAAAAGCAGTATTTGTTTATTGATGTGTTTGTTGTCTTTAGATTAGATTTTTCATTTTTGAATATATACATATAAAGGAAGCACATTGTGAATATTATGGGACCAGAACTTGAGGTAATATAAATTCTGATTATGTTTAATCGAAAAAACTGGAAATCTCAGGGGGAATATATTCTCAAACTCACTGGTCTTATGCAAAAAAGGAAAAACTTGGACATTGAAATTATGATTTCTTTCTGAAGACCCGATTAAATTCACTAATTGGAAGAAGTAGCTAAACATTTGAGTTAGTCTAATTGTATTAATTATTATGCTTTCCTAATGCAAGCTTGTTGTTCTATGTAAGAATAAATTATCAAAGAAAGGACCACACTTTATTGATAGAGATGTCCTTAGTGTAAAATAAGGGTAGCTGATTATATTTTTTAGATTATCGTTCACGTTTGAGCATTTACTACAATTTGATATTAGCTAAAATTATTAAACCTCCATGAAGATTTATTTCAACAAGAAGCATTAGTCACATTTTCTGAGCTTCAACTTAATTTAGTAATATCAAAGGCTTTATTAACTTCTTTCCAGCTGAAAATAAAGATGACATCATTTTGTGTCAATAAATATCACATATGATACTAGTAAAGTGCTTAAAATAGTTTATGATTGGTAGAATTTACAGTATTTTTTAAAGAAAGATTTTACTCTTGGGGCATAATAGATTTCTTGGAAAGACTTTAATTTTGAAAGTTTTAAAATATAATAACTTAGAACATTTCAGTAGTATAAAACTATTATTGAATATTAATGATTCTTTTGTGAAGTTTATATCATTTACAAATATACAGTGAGATGCTAATTTCTCTTCTCTATAACTTTTAATCATGTGCATTCATTGGAAGAAGCAAAATCTTTTAAAATGCATAGTATGTATTTAAACACCTTTAAAATAGTTTTCCAGTCATAAGTTCTTTGTAGCTGATCTTTTGTGAAAATAGTTAAAATATAAAATAGATTATATTGAAATCACTCTAATGCCTCTTGTTTAAAGTTTCTCTAAAAATAAATATAATTAGCACAGACAACTACAAAAATATTTGTAGCTCCAAATTACTTATTACCATTTTCAAATCCATTCCAGTCTTGTCAGTATTGCAGGGATAACTATAATAAAGTCTTCTAAAATTGGAACTCAAAATTTAGGAGTATGTACTTGTTAGTGTTTAGTGATTTTCTTTCTTAAAAGCTTTTGTTTTAAAATAAGGGAAATCATTAAGTTGATTGGTTGTTCAATAGAGTGGTATTTTACCCTTCTACTTTTGATAAACAGTGAAATGAGCAAATGTTTCTGAATGCTGTTCCTTGCAATAGTAAATTCTGCAGCGTAATTATTACTTACCTTTTTAGGGAGAGAACTTGCCAGTTTTGATGCGAACTAAGTGTTCATTAGAAAAAAGGGCATCATTATTTTGTGTCTGGATTTAACTAGTCTATCTGGCAGATACACTATCACAGTCTTCAAGGTTGCTTTTTAATAGGGGACTTAAAAGTTAGTGCATTATTTACAATGTGGTTAGCTTGAGAAGACTATTAGAAACTAGATCAGTTTTGCTTTGACTTTCCAACACTTTCCAGGACATTT